CACCCCCCCCCCCCCGGTTTGAGCCTCCACTATTCAAGATGGTTGGAACAGATATAGACTGCTGTCTACCATCAAGAGAAATATGTAGAGCTTGATGCTTCGTCACTGGAGGTGGTTGAAGAAGTCCTGAAAGGAAACTGAGGGGAACCTGGGTGATCCGTCACCACACCACTTAGCAACTGTGTTTTGTGGACATCCTTCAACACCCTCTCAGTGCCATGGACATTTATTAACTGTTAGGAATTTATTGAACTGCACTGGACTATTTACATTGGTGTCTGTGGAATGGATCTGAATGGTTTTTTAGAGAAAGGTAAAGGTTTCCTTTGCTCAAAAGCCAGTCAAATCCGACTCTGGGGATGCGGTGCTCATCTCCATTTCCAAGCCAAAGAGCCAGCGCTGTCCAAAGACGTCTCCGTGGTCATGTGGCCGGCATGACTAGACGCCGAGGCGCACGGAACGCTGTTACCTTCCCACCGAAGTGGTACCTCTTTATCCACTTGCAATTTCTTGCTTTCGAACTGCTAGGTTGGCAGGAGCTGGAGCCAGAGACGGGAGCTCACTCTGTCATGCGGCACTTGGGTCTCGAACTGCTGAGCTACCGACCTTCCAGTCTGCAGTTCAGCGTCTTAACCAATTGAGCCACTGCAGCCCCCCTTTTTAAAGGCAAAAGGAACCCCACTGAGCCATCATGTCAGGAGGGGGACGCCACCCCCCTCCCAACTACGCGGGGACCCTCCCAGTCAGCACCCGAGAGAAGACCGAATCGAGTCCCAGACCGTTACAGTTTTTGACTGTGTTGTTATATGCACAACCCTCTTTGCTGTACTTCCATTTATTTTTTCTCCCCCCCCCCCCGTTTTGGTGGGGGTTGCCCGAGTTGGCGGGGCTCCTTCCCGCCCGTCAGCAGGTGAGTGGGGGGAAGCCCCGGCCCCAAGAGCCACCACCTGGTCTCCATCCCACCCAGTCTCCTCCCCAAGTCTTCCCAACAGTGTTTAAAGACATACACTGGGGAGAGGTGGAGCTGCACACCTGCACATTGAACCCCAAATTCAGGGCTCGGCATGCAGGCGAATGTGGCCTTCCCCCCCCACTTCTCCCCAGCAGTGTTTAAAGGAAGTCTTTAAGCATTGCTGGGGAGAGGTGGGGGCCATGCGCCTGCACTCTGAGCCCTGAATTCGGGGCTCGGCATGGAGGCGCACGGGGGATCCCTCCCGCCTCTTCCCAGCAGGGTTTAAAAAGACCCTTTAAACATTGCTGGGGAGAGGCGGGGGCCTCTGTTCCTTAATGTGATGATGTCACTACTGAGTGACGTCATCACGCTTGGGACTAGGGTTGCCAGCCTCCAGGTGGGGCCTGGGGATCTCCCACTTTTACAACTGATCTCCAGCTGACAGAGATCAACTCCCCTGGAGAAAATGGCTGCTCTGAAGGGTGGACTCTGTGGCATTGTACCATGCTGAAGCCCCTCCCCTCCCCAAACCCCGCCCTCTCCTGGCTCCACCCCCAAAGCCTCCAGGTATTTTCCAACCTAGACCTGGCAACCCTACTGGGGGCTTCCCACCCCCTCCAGTAACGCCCCCAAAGTCCCCTGCTGGGGACTTTGAGGGGCACCTGGCAACCTGTAAAGTACTGGGTTCAGACGCGTAGTAGTGATTTCAGCTCATAGTTTATTAAACTCTCAACTCAAGACAGAGAGCAGCAGGACCGGAGCCCTGCTTAAATTCGTGAGCCACACCACACCCAACACACGTCCTGCTCCCCGTGATAGGCTGTTTACCTAGTGTCCATACCCATAGGTCAGGCGTAGGATCCTGAGTAGCCGATAGGCTCGCTCTAGTATCCTTGCCCGCTATTGTTTTCCATCCTCAAGCTGCGCTTGTTAGCCTGGCCACGTGTTTGGCCGAGCGCATGTGGAGTCCTTGTTGGTACGCAACAGAACCCTACTGGGAAACTCAGTGCCACTTTTGTGGAGGGGGGAAGCCATTTATGAAATTTGCTCCCCCATTTTACAAATCACCGTAGGTCCTAATCCTTGGGCAACCTGTATGTAGAAGGAAGGGACTGTGATCGTTACATGTTCCATCAATGTTATTTTTCCCTCTAGCTCGTCAATGGAGAAAGGGAATGAAACTTTTGTCTCTGGATTCATCCTGCAGGGGCTCTTCAACCAGGCAGGGCACGAAGGCCTCATCTTCTCCCTCCTCCTCTTCATGTACCTGCTGAGTCTCCTGGGCAACCTGCTGATTGTCCTCCTGATCCATTGCGATGCTCATCTCCGCCACACACCCATGTATTTCTTCCTCAGCTACCTCTCTCTGGCTGACGTGGGACTTGCATCTTCTATTGTCCCCATAACGTTATGCAATCTGGTGTCCCGGGACAAGATCCTCTCCTACGGTGGCTGCTTGTCTCAAACGTATTTTCTCTTGGCCTTTGGCAACAGCGACAACTTCCTGCTCACTGCCATGGCCTACGACCGCTACTTGGCTATCTGCCGCCCACTGCACTACGCGGCCTTGATGAATATCAAGAGCTGCCTCTTGATGGTCTCTGGCTGTTGGCTTCTGGCTTTTCTGCAGTCCTTGATGTACACACTGATGCTCTCCCGTCTTTCCTTCTGTGCGTCCCGTGAGATCCGCCATTTTTTCTGCGATGTCAATCCGCTCTTAAGGCTTTCCTGTTCGGACACCACTCCCATAGAGATGGTAGTGATGACGGAAGGTATGCTAGATATTCTGGGACCCTGTACACTCATTGTGGTCTCCTATGGACACATCTTCCTGACTGTAATGAAGACCCCATCTTCGAGTGGAAAACTCAAGGCCTTCTCCACATGTGGTTCTCACCTGACTGTGGTGATCTTGTTCTACGGCACCATCCTCTGCGTCTACTTGCTGCCTGCCTCTGAGAACAAGACCCTGCCTTCCCTCATGTACACGGTGGTCACCCCGATGCTGAACCCCTTCATCTACAGTCTGAGGAACAATGAGATGAAGGGTGCCCTAAGGAGACTCATTGGCCAGATGCGAATGTCCCACAATAACTGGAAATAAGTTTAACTGAGGGCCTTTTCCCATTCTCATTTCCCTGCTTCTGCATGTGGTTTGCTCCTTCTCGTGGTCGATTCGATATGACACTAGTTTTTATGCTAGATATTGTTTAGGTTGTTAGCCATTCAGTCCTATTCGACTCGTGGCGATTCTGTGGGCCAGCTCTCTCCACGTTTTTCAATCTTGTACTGTTTCTTTGAGTCATTCCATGTTCAGGCTGGTGTCGACTGTTATGGTGTCTAGGCACCGTGTTCTTTGGCAGCCAGGTTTCCTTTTGCTGTTAACCAATTCGAGCACGATCGCTTTTTCTAGTGAGTGAGCTCTTCTGCATGACATGTCTGAAATAAGTCAGTTGCAGATTTGTGATTTTTCCTCCCAGTGGCATGTCTGGTTTTATGCACTCCAATACTGGTTTGTCTGTTGCCTTTGCTGTTCAAGGAATGCGCAGGAACCTCCTCCAGCACCTCAGGGTCAAGAGTTGGTTTTCCTCCTGTCTTGCTTCTTCATGGTCCAACTTTCGCAGCCGTAGGTTGCTATGGGGAACACAATAAGCACAGACTAATCTGCATTTGGTTGTATGCCAGACATAAACAGGTGTAATATCGAATGAACCATTAGAGGGAGCAAACTACATGTGGAACAGAAACCCACCTCCGAAGAAACAGGAATTTACAGGCAAGGAAAATGAGAATGCAGAAAAGCCGCTAGAATTGCCAGCTTTTTGTTTGGCCAATTTACACCGATGTGCAGCCAGCAGCCATTGATAATGCTGATCTCCATTCCGTGAAAAGCTTTGCCATGTCAAATGTAACAAAGATATCAACAAGACCAGCCACAGGAACAGCAACTGGGGCGGGAGGGAAAGGGCGAGAGCCAGCTTTGGCCAGTTCCCTCAATTGCACAGGAGAGATACAAAGCCCCTTTGAGAGAGAGAGAGAGAGGGGGGGGAATAACAACAAGCCAGTGTGGTGGATTAGGCTGAGAGTGTGTGTCCAGACCAAGTTTACCCAGCACATTTCCTTTGTAGACTGCAGATTTTAGACTCCCCAGATAGTAGGCTGATACCAAACACTATACATTGCTGTCTCTCTATTCTTGCACTGCCTCAGGGGTTGTACTTATTTCTCTGGGAAGACTATTGTTTTGTAGACCAACACATAGCCTTCAGTCTGTGTCATGGTGTCTTCACAGTGCACCCTGCAGTCCTAGCCAACTATCACCCAGTCTCAAATCTTTAGTTTCTGGGAAGGGTAGTTGAGAGGGCAGTGGCTGAACAGCTCCAGTTTTCCTGGATGACACATCCATCCTTGATCTGTTCCAGTCTGGTTTCTGCCCTGGCCACGGGATGGAGACGGCATTAGTTGCCCTCTCAGATGACCTCCATAGACACCTGGATCGGGGTGGGTCGGTGCTGCTGTTACTCTTAGATCTTACAGCAGCGTTCGACACAGTCGATTACAATCTTATGATCCACCTCCTTGCCGACATAGGAGTTCGGGGATGGCCCTACAGTGGTTTTCCTCCTTTCTTTGTGGTTGGGGACAGAGGGTGGCACTTGGCAAGGAGATCTCTCAGCGGTACCCACTTGAATGTCGGGTACCGCAGGGGGCGATTCTCTCACCAATGTTGTTGAACATCTAGATGCGCCCCCTCACCCAGTTGGTCTGGGGGTTTGGGTTGGGTTGCCACCAATATGCGGATGACACCCAGCTCTATCTGTTGCTGGATGGCTGCCTGGATTCTGCCCCTGTTTTTTGAGGATCACGAAACTGCGGAGGAAATGCAGCGCCGCGGCTTCAGGTGAAATTGACCAATAGTATCGGGGCAAACGGCGGCGCAACATTGAGGCAGCTCTAGTGCGAAATCAGCCATTGTCTCCAGATTTTGATGCAATAATTCAGAGCAAGAGGTGTCAGTTACCGTAGACTGTTAAATAAACAAAATATTACAAGAGTGCTAATGTTTCAAGCATGTTTTCTTTGAAGTTAAAAAAAATCTTTAATTGTGTTTGTTTGTGCCCTTTATTAAGTTTCTATCTCCGCTACCTGGCATTACATTTTGTGACACACATGGCCCGGCCCCACAAAGTCTCATTTACGTCAGCTCTGGCCCTCATAACAAATGAGTTCGACACCCCTGACTTAAACCATTCTGGGGCCGTTCCCGTGATATATACCGCTGTGGAGCTGGGTGCTCATGCCGCCTTCATTTCTCCATCCCTTTTCTTTGTTCCCGAAAGGACTTAGCTTAATGAGACCCCCATGGAAATAGTGTAGCTTCTACTGCCCCCGAGAGGCCTTGGTTTGAGTAGGTGCAATACAGACGGTTGTTTTTAAAGCCCAGATACTCTGCTTTGCCGGTAATAAGGACTTATTTGGAGCACGTCAAACAACAGGTCTATTTAGACTCATGCTTCCAGAAGCTGCCAAATGGGCATCTCTGTTCATTCTAAAGCCAGATGTGGTCTGGCTGATATGGAACTCAGCAGGCCGGGCATGGGGGGGGTCTCTCAGTGACCCTGAAATAACAAAACCACAAAGGACTGAAGTTATCCCTCAAATGAAAACTGCGCAGTGACTCGGAAGCCAAACATTTCCCTTCCACTCACTGCTTTGGGCCAAGCTGTATGGAAAGGACCGGTCTGGGCGGTCGACCAAGATCCTTCATATCCGCAAATATCTTCCATTTCAGATATCAGACATCCTCTGCTATCGATGGAGTAAAGCTCAAGCATTGTAGGGCCTAGCAAAGTGTTACCGGTGAGTAAGGAGAGCCAGTTTGGTGTAGTGGTTAGGGGCATGGACTCTAATATGAGAGAACTGGGTTTGATTCCCCACTCCTCCTCATGCAGCTGCTGGCGTGACCTTGGGTCAGTCATGGCTCTCTCAGAGCTGTTCTCTCAGGAGCAGTTCTCAAAAGAGCTCTCTCAGCCCCACTTACCTCACAGAGGTAGGGCGGGGTATAAATCCAAACTCCTCTTCTTCTTCTTTTACCTCACAGGGTGTCTGTTGTGGGGAGGGGAAGGGAAAGGAGTTTGTCAGCCGCTCTGAGACTCCCTTAGGTAGTGAAGGGAAGGGTATAAATCCAATCTCTTCTTCTTCTTCTTTTACCTCACAGGGTGTCTGTTGTGGGGAGGGGAAGGGAAAGGAGTTTGTCAGCCGCTCTGAGACTCCCTTAGGTAGTGAAGGGAAGGGTATAAATCCAATCTCTTCTTCTTCTTCTTTTACCTCACAGGGTTTCTTCTTCTTCTTCTTCTTCTTCTTCTTCTTCTTCTTTTACCTCACAGGGTGTCTGTTGTGGGGAGGGGAAGGGAAAGGAGATTGTGAGTTGCTCTGAGACTCCTTCGGGTAGTGACGGGTGGGGTATAAATCCAATCTCCTCCTCCTCCTCCTCCTCCTCCTCTTCTTCATTGTCTTCATCTTCTTCTTTCAACTGGTGCCTTGTCTCTGTGACTAATTCTAACCAGCTCTAGGAGAAGACAATGCTGCTATCTTAGATGTCCAGTTAAACTAGTTTCACTGGAAGCTTGCTTCATGGCTAATCAATCAGAACGAAGTTTCGGCCCAGTGGCACCTTTAAGACCAACAAAGTTTAATTCTGGGTATAAGCTTTTATGTGCATGCACACTGCTTCATATACAGTGAAACAGACTTCCACAACTGTTACATATAGGTGTGGGGGGGGGGGTCCAGGAAGGGGTAGTTTGAGTCAAGATGCATCTAACTTGATTCTAACTAATCCCTCCTGGCAACTAACCTCTACCCCACCTTCTCTCTACCTATATGTAATGGTTGAGGAAATTCTTTTTCACTGTATCTGACGAAGTGTCCATGCACACAAAAGCTTATACCCAGATTTAAGCTTTGTTGGTCTTAAAGGTGCCACTGGACTCCAACTTTGTTCTAGTTCTTCAGCTCAACATGACTACGCATCTGAATCAATCAGAAGCAAAGAAAAGAAAAGCTTATTTTTTTGCATTTGTGTGTGCGTTTTGCCTGGACGTCATGGTGACCTCTGGCAACTCCTACTGGGGCACGGAGGATGTTCAGAGAAGTGGCAGGATAGCCTGCCTCTGCCTCCCAACCCTGGTATTCCCTGGAGGTCTCCCATCCAAATACTTGCCGGGGTCAGCTCTGCTTAGCTTTCGAGATCTGACGAGATCGGGCTTGCCTGGGCTATCCAGGTCAGGGTGAAAAGCTTAATTTTGAGGATCTGAATGTCTTTGGCCTGGTTGAGGTGCATTCTCACTGGCTTGGAGTGAACGATTCAGCATGCCTGGACATTGGGGAGCGCTACATCACTCTTAGGGTGTACAGGGGTTATCTCCTTGAATGGGACGCCTCTTTTTGTCTTAACCTGGGAGCTGCCCGCTGACCCCTCCTCTCTCCCCCTTTGTCCTCCCCCTCTCTTTACATGGCCTTCCATGGAGACACACATCTCTGCAGGTCTCTCCTCTCCCTCTCTCAACATGGCCTTCCATGGAGACACATCATCTCTGCAGGTCTCTCCTCTCCCTCTCTCAACATGGCCTTCCATGGAGACACATCATCTCTGCAGGTCTCTCCCTCTCTCAACATGGCCTTCCATGGAGACACATCATCTCTGCAGGTCTCTCCTCTCCCTCTCTCAACATGGCCTTCCATGGAGACACATCATCTCTGCAGGTCTCTCCTGTAGAGACAATGTCCTCATACTCTCACACACATGATGCTGGACAAGCTAGCCATTTTATTAATTAAATTTCTAGGCCGCCCTCTCCTGCAAGCAGGGCTCAGGGAGGCTTACAACAGGGATATACAATAAATCAGGGGTCATTTCGTAGAAAAAGAGCTAGGGGAACTCATTAGCATAACTCATTAGCATATGCCACACACCCTGACATCAGGGGCCCGGCGGTGGACCTGCAAGGCCAGCGGGAGTGCGAGGAAGCCCTGCCAAGGCCCTCCCTGGCCCCAGGCAGGCAGGGGTGGGGAGAGGCGGGGAGGAAGCAACTTACCCTCCCTCTTCTCCTGCCTCCTCCTGGCTGAATGAGGGCTGGAAGCGAGCGGCCGGAAGCAGGGGGCAGGGCTTCATCATGTGCCCCGCCCCCCTGCACCTCACCCGGGGGAACTGCGTTCCCCCGCGTTCCCCCCCGAAATGACCTCTGCAATAAATACAATAAATATTTAAGTTACCAACAAAAGAAAACAAACAGTCCTTAGTCAAAGGACGCTTTAGATTAGGCGTCTCTCCTTTCGTCTGCAACCGGAATGTGAACTGGAGCTCCTTGGATAAATGTAAGTTTACCCTTTTTTGCAATGTACTTCTTGGGAGTATATTTTCTGTGGTCAGTATCACGGCTCTATGACTGGGCAAACGCTGCTATATTAACCAAATATCTCAATAGATACAACCAGGTAAGAAGTGACATGTTGGCAGCAGTGGCAGGGAGCCTTGTATGTCCTCCCAAGCTTCTGTAGAAGAGGTAGGGTATTCTCCTAGGGTATCAAAGGTCCTCCGCCATCGATGAAGTGAAGCTTAAGCATCGCACGGCATGAGGAGGAAATTTTGAAGCTCAGGACAAACCCCGTTTTTTTCCTGTTTCCCCCCGGAAAAAAACGGAATTTTTTGGAAAAATTGGAAAAAATGCTACATTAGCACTTTCCCCCCTTTCCAGTTTGAAAGTCATTCTGTTACTTTAGGAACATAAAATATGACTATGGACATTTTTACTTGGCCTGAAATTATCACAACCAGCATATTAAAAATATAGTGTACCCAAACAATTATTACAAACAGAATAACCCTTCAGTACCCGAAGGAGTCCCAGAGGGGCTTACAGTCCCTTCCCCTTCCCCTCCCCACAACAGACACCCTGTGAGGGAGGTGGGGCTGAGAGAGCTGTTTTTAGGACTGCCCTTGAGAGAACAGCTCTGAATAAAACTTATGACTGACCCAAGGTCACACCCGCCAGCTTGCCTGGCATCGTGTGTGTGGGAGTATGAGGGCATGGTCTCTACAGGGAAGACCGTGGAAGGCCATGTGCAGAAAGGGAGAGGACAAAGCACACAGAGAGATGAGGTATCAGAAGGTAGCTCCCAAGTGAAGACAAAGAGAGTCATCCCATTCAAGGAGGTAACATCTGCACACCCTTAAAGTGATGTAGCGCCCCCCCCCCCCCATGTTCCACCCATTTTATTTTTCTCCCTAGCTGAACCATGGAGCAAGGGAACCAGACATTTGTCCCAGGATTCATCTTGCAAGAGCTCTTCAACCAAGCAGGACACAAAGGCCGCATCTTCTCCATCCTCCTCTTCGTGTACCTGCTGATTCTTCTGGGCAACCTGTTGATTGTCCTCCTGATCCGCTGCGACGCCCATCTCCTCCACACACCCATGTATTTCTTCCTCAGCTACCTCTCGCTGGCTGACATGTGTCTTGCGTCTTCCACCATCCCCGTCATGCTGCGTAACCTCATTTCCCAGGACAGGGTCATCTCCTACGGTGGTTGCTTGTCTCAGGTTTATTTTTTCTTGGCCTTCGGCAACAGCGACAGCTTCCTCCTTGCCGCCATGGCCTACGACCGCTACTTGGCTATCTGCCGCCCACTGCACTACGCTGCCTTGATGAACACCAAGCGCTGCCTCTTGATGGTTTCCGGGTGTTGGCTCCTGGCCCTTTTCCAGTCCACGCTGTACACCTCCCTGCTCTCCTCTCTCTCCTTCTGCGCATCCCAGGAGATACCCCATTTTTTCTGCGAGTTCTACCCTGTGCTGGGGCTCGCCTGCTCCGACACCACGGCTGTCAAGCTGGTGGCACTGACGGAAGGTGTGCTAGATGTCCTGGGGCCATTTGTCTTCATCGTGGCCTCCTACGTGCTCATCTTCCTCAGCGTTACGAAGGCTTCATCGTCCACCAGCAAACGCAAGGCCTTCTCCACGTGTGGTTCTCACCTGGCTGTGGTCATCCTCTTCTATGGCACCCTCTGCTGGACCTATACACAGCCTACCTCTGGCAGCAGCACGGTGGCGTACACAGCTGTGACTCCCATGCTGAACCCCTTCATCTACAGCCTGAGGAACAATGAGATGAAGGGAGCTCTGATAAGGCTTCTTCGCAGGACGAGTGTTGTTCATAGGAACTTGAAGTAATTGATCAGTCACCTGATATTGGGGCATTGTGTTGCAGTGGGTGGGATGGATGGCACGGATGGCATAGAGATAGAATCATAGAATCATAGAAGGTTAGAGTTGGAAAGGACCTTGCGGGTTATCTAGTCCAGCCCCCTGCACTCTGCAGGAGCATAGCCGAAACCTACATCATACCCGAAAGATGGTCGTCCAGCCTCCGCTTGAAAATGTCCAGCGAAGGAGCATCCACCACCTCCCGAGGCAGTCTGTTCCACTGCTCAACCACTCTTACAGTTAGAAAGGCCCCTGCCACACGGCAGGGGAAAAGCCCTTTAAAGCGCGGCTTTTAAAAGCCGCGCCAACGTTGATACGGCTCGGCGGGATCCCACGGATCCCCCGGCCGAGCCGCCTTTTCTCCCCGGCGCGATCAAACGCCGGAGAGAAAAGACGGCTCTAACCGGGAGCCGGCCGATCTGCGCATGTCGGAGCATGCGCAGTTCGGCTCCGGCCCGGGCTTGAGCCGGCGCAAAGACGCGCCGGCGATCAGACGCCCGGGAAGAGGCGCCTCATCCGTTTGAACCACCGAGGTAGGTGGTTCAGTTTGAGGCGGTTCTTCCTGGGTTTGGGCCAGTTTGGAGGCGGAAGCAGAACGCTTCCCAGATGTTGTGGTGTGATCGCGCTGCTTTGATCCGCCTCCAAACTGTCCCGTTCCCGGGCCAAATCGCCTCGTGTGAACGGGGCCGAAGTTTCTCCTGATATTTAGCCGGTATCGACTCCCTTGTAATCTCCACCCATTAGATCTAGTCTTGCAATCCGGAGCACGAGATAATAGATCTGCTCCATCTTCTACATGACAGCCCTTCAGATACTTGAAGACTGCAATCATGTCCCCTCTAAGCCTTCTCTTTCCCAGGCTAAGCATCCCCAACTCTTTCAGCCTTTCCTCGTAAGACTTGGATTCCAACCCTCTCACCATCCTGGTTGCCCTCTTCTGGACACGCTCGAGCTTGTCAACATCCTTCCTAAAATGTGGTGCCCAAAACTAGACACAGTACTCCAGGTGAGCCCTGAACATAGCAGAATAGAGCGGAACTACAACCTCCCATGATCTGGACACAATGCTTCTGTGTAAGATAAGGAAAGTCTAGTTTGGTTTAGTGTAGTGGTTAGGAGGGGTGAACTCTAATCTGGGAGACCCAGGTTTGATTCCCCACTCCTCCACATGCAGCTGCTGGTGTGACCTTTGGTCAGTCACAAGTTCTCTCAGAGCTGTTCTTTCAAGGGCAGTCCTTGGAAGAGCTCTCTCAGCCCCACCTACCTCACAGGGTGTCTGTTGTGGGGAGGGGAAGGGAAAGGAGTCTGTAAGCTGCTCTGAGACTCCTTGGGGTAGAGAAGGGTGGGGTATAAACTCAAGCATACAGTCTTTAATACTGTTGTAAAATAGTCAAAAGTGTTTAATACTCAGACTATCAATAGATCTTGCTCTATTGGAAAGAAGAGATTTCTTTGCTTTTAAAAACTTTTATTTCTAAGGGTAAAAGGTACACGGGATAACTACAAATAAACATAACACTAACAGCTACATTTTCTAAGCTGTCTATAGTCAACACTAACACAGAGATAATGGAGAATCTGTCCTTCTTCTCGACCCCTAGAAAGGAAGTCACCTGAAACAAACAACCAATCTGTATCACAATAGAAGCTACTTCCCCCCCCCCGCTAATTCCCCATTGGCTTACTGCCAGGTACCCCTTCCAGGTCAGTCTAAACAATAGAAATACTAGGCAAACAAGTTAACCCTATAATGACTGAATTGGCTGCAGGGAAAGTGGGTTGGGCCTGAGGGACCTCCACCTTACTTGTTGACAAACATATAATGTAGTTGAGATGAAGGAGTGTATCTGTTGCTTGGTGTCTCCTTCCCTGTTCTTTGGCAGTGCCTTATCTTTATCCCCAGATATCTGTATGGTGTATAGGGTTGATGGGTCCGACCTGGATGCCCACGGGAAGGGGGACGCCCGCTCCTTCCTGCAGGTCTACTGGTGCATTTCCGACATTGGAGCGACACTCTACGTTCTGAGCAAAACTTTATGGTGAGGACTTTTAGGAAGCAAACCGACAAGAACACATATTTACACTTCAAATCATAGAATCATAGAGTTGGAAGGGATCTCTGAGGTCATCTAGTCCAACCCCCAGCAGAACGCAGGAGATTTGCAAATACCTCCCCCTCCACACGTCCAGAAGATGACAAAAAAACCCAAAACCTCCAGGATCTCCGGCCAAACTGGTGATCAGCAAAGTGGTGATCAGGCGGGCATGTAAGAAAGGGCCACAAGAAATAAATAGTTCCATCCAGCACACTTACGGCAGAGTGTTCCATTTGGTCAATGTCTCCATATTAAAAGAAATTCAAGACTTCAGAAGGGATAGTGATTTAATGCAGGAACAATTCAGGGACTGAGGTTGCCTGGAAATAATAATAAGTAAAGTGCAGGAAAGAGCACAAGTGACAGACAGATCAACTCTGTTGAAAGAAAAAGATAAAGAATATAAAAATAGAATAATATTGGCCATAGATGATACTTCTGTGGCCACATCAATTCAGAAAATCACTAAGAAACGTTGGTTTTTAGTGCAGGACTTACCGGGCTGCCAGGAAACCACCTGGATTGTGTTTAGAAGGACTAACAACATTAAAGGTGTGATTATTCATTCTGGGTTTGAGACTAGTGTTAGAATGGAAGGGCCCCCTAGAGGCCATTTTAGGTGTGACAAATGTAAAGTGTATGCATATCATTATGTATGCTAACTCATTCAGTCCTCACATATGTATTCTCAACAAGATGGACTATACATCCTCTGTATTTTAGTATATTTCTTTTTCAGAATAGTGTATTAGAATACTGAATGTAATGCAAGGAATATTGGAATGTTTTGCTGACAAAACACTGCACCCACCTCAAAGAAGAAAAAAAATGCTGTTAAGTTACCTCCATGATTGCAGACGAATGGAGAGTCTCTTGACTTCCCACAATTAAAAAAGATACCTTTACACATTTATCCCCCATTTTGACATATTTATTGCTTTACTGTCCTTTCCCCCTTAATTAATTCAAAACAACTGTTGGCCTTATAATAACCTTAGCTTGTTATTTAGTTTTGTCTTTGCATATCTTAAAACATCTTCGTCATGTTACACGTTAATTTGCTGTTCAGCCTCTGTCTATAAGTTTGAACTCTACCTTCCATTCCAATGTATTTGGAAAAAAGTGTGCCTGCCCACGAAAGCTCATACCTTGAATAAACCTTTCTCGGTCTTAAAGGAGCCACTGGACTCCAAATTTGTTCTACTGCTTTAGACCAAGATGGCTGACCACTTGAAATGTAAAGTGTGTTCTATGACTTAAGAAGGTTCCTCTTTTGATTTACCAGGTCATCAAAACGTGAGTTTGAAACAGTTCTCTGAGGGGCAGCAGTGCAGTGCTGGGCACATGACCCCACAATGCTTGACTGCTGCAGACGAGGTTATTAGGCTGTGCTGAAGCCACAGTGGAGTGGCCCTACCCACTCCCCCCCCCCCAAGCACTCCCTCCCTTGCAGCAGTTGCTCACAGGGTGCATAGAAGCCCTGGATGGGCCAGTTCCGGCCCCTGGGCCTTATGTTCGACACCCCTGGTCTATTGGCTGACTTATGTATTGAGGATGCCACATGCAGTTTGCCACATACACAAGAGGTGGGGGCTTTGGGTGTAAGCTTTCTCTCCTTTGTTCTTACAGACCCACGAGTTTGAGCAAACGAACAGGCAAGATGGAGCTTAGAACTAGTTAGCTAGGATGTTGTTGTTTTCTTTCATGTAACCCTAGGAGCTGTGGTGGCTCAAGTGGTTAAGACGCTGAACTGCAGGCTGTGGAAGGTCGGTAGTTCAGCAGTTCGAGACCCGAGTGTGCCGCATGATGGAGTGAGCTCCCGTCTCTAGTTCTAGCTCCTGCCAACCTAGCAGTTTGAAAGCAAGAAATTGCAAGTAGATAAATAGGTACCGCTTCAGTGGGAAGGTAACAGCATTCCGTGTGCCTTGGTGTTTAGTCATGCCGGTCACATGACCACGGAAACGTCTTCGGACAGCGCTGGCTCTTCGGCTTTGAAACAGAGATGAGCACCGCAACCCTAGAGTCGGATTCGACTGGCTTTCGAGCAAGGGAACCTTTACCTTTAACCCTTCCTAATCTTTTAGTAAGCTGTATATTTTCCTTACAAGCTAAACACCCGTGTCTGTGTCTGCATTGTTTTTCCATTGCGCTTCATCGCTCTGCTAAGCAAATCCAACAGATCTCCACTCTGAAATAATACAAAAGTTTGTATTGCAAAGTCATATTGCTCCCACTGCTAAGTCCTTCTGTTCCTTGAGCTCCATCTAGGGAAATATGGACCACAAGAGAAGGCGGCTCTGGTTAACCGGTCCCATGTGAAACCAACTGCACAAACTCCAGTCTCTGGGGTTCACCTTCCGACCTAATGAAAAAGGCTCAGGCTGACGTAGCCAGGATTGTCTTCTCCGCAGGCCGATGTGTGCCTGCTCTCCTGTCTACCGGGTAGGGCAGAAACTGTCAGCTGCCTAGAAAGTTCAGGGAAAGAAGGGACAACGTAAGCCTATTCAACTCACTATATTGGGGTGAACTAATTGGTAATGCTGGCACAAAAGCCCAAGTCCTTGTGACGGATGTGGCCAGGCCCATAGCTAACGCGGGGCCCATGGGGCCCGGCCCCCTAGCCTTTCTTCCGGGCCTCCAACAGTGTTCCCTGTAAGCTGAGTTAGGTGCGCTGGGCACACTGATGTCCGACGCCCAGTGCACCAATTTCCCTCTCAACGCGGGGGTTGTGGGTCCCCTCCCCCCACGCCTGCACTAACTCTAGAGGGGGGCCACTCCTGGCTGACCAGCTTCCGGCAGAGTGGAGCGACCTGGGAGCGGCCGTCACCGAAAACCAAGCCGCTTTCCCGCTGAAGCTGCTGCACCCAGCCGTCCTGTAGGTCCAGGCGGGGGAAGTAGCAGAGCTGGTGAGGAGGATGGAGGTTGGGGAGGAGGCCGCCATTTGGTGAGGAGGATGGAGGTTGGGGAGGGGAGCCAGGCAAGAATGGAGGTGGTGGAGGTGGTGGTGGGGAAGCCTTGGGCTGGCAGCGTGGCTGGCGCTCCTCCGTGGCCTCCCATTGCCAGCAGCATCGGCGAGTGGCTCGCTTTCTCCTGCAGTCTGGTTTAAACTGGGCTGCAGGAGAATGCGCGCCCCAGGAGCTTCTGTGCTGTACGGAGCATATTGCTCCAGCAGCACAGACGATCCTGGGCTCGCTTTCTCCTGCAGTCAGTGTGTGTGGGGGGGCTTTCTCTCTCTCTCTTTTGTCTCTCTGTTGAGATGTGTGAGAGCTGGAAGTGAGGAGAGGCTGGGGAGCTGCTCCCCCCCCCACTCCAGGCTGCTTTCCTTCCTTCCTTCCTTCCTTCCTTCCTTCCTTCCTTCCTTCCTTCCTTCCTCTTTCTCTTTCTTTCTCTCTCTCTCTCTCTACCCCCCATCTATTTGCTTTCTTTCCACCTCTCCTCCCTCCCTCCCTCCTCCCTCTTTCCTTCCTTCCTTCCTTCCCATCCAGGCCTGTAGCTACAGTGGGGTATTTTGGGGGCCTGCCCCCTTAATTAAAAGCCCGGGCCCACAAAGAACAATGCCAGAAACCTTATTTTTGAGGAGAGACGGGTATTCAGATTAATCTAATTAACTGTAATTTAAGCCCCCCCTTAAAAATTTAAATGCCCCCTGAACAAAAAAAATCCTGGCTATGGGTCTGTTCCCATCTATTCCCTCCCCCCCTCCCCATCTATTTGCTTCCTTTCCACCTCTCCCCTCTCCTAAGCATCTGCCTGGAATGAGCACCGTCAGGGGCACCCGAGATGGCAAAGTTGCAAAAGTGTGGGTGAGGCCGGGCAATCCTCCACGCGCCTTGCAAGGAAGTCATTGCATGGGACAAGGCACAGGATCCAAGCTTTGCACACCGCAGCTCCAAAGTACACTGGCTACGCCGCTCCCCCCCACCAAACCCAGCACGGGGGGGGGGGGGGGGGATGTGTGTAGCTCTGTACAGACATATAATAGCTCGCCCCCTGAGCAAAAAATTGCCCCCCCCCCGAGCAAAAAGTTGCCAGCTACGGGGCTGGATGTGGTGTATATTACCTTTGAGATGTGCAAGCCTGTGATTCTGTGCATTTTTGCTTAGGGCGAAGCCCCACTGGATACAATAGGATTTGCGCCTGAGTAATCATGAATAAGAGCCTTGCATTGGATTGATGTTGAGTTCCCCCACTCCAGAAATCTCTTAAAAATTACTTGAGCAGTTGCCTTATTGCCCTCAGTAATTCTGGCATGGATATTTAGTGACATAATCTAGTGTTATTGCTTCCTAACTGCCGGGTGCTGCCATGTTATCGCAATACATTCTTTAATCTTCAGTCTTCATATGGAACAGACGATTTGGAAATCATGCACTTATTTCTGCTTCGGCAGCGCTGGTGACTTCTAACCAGGTGAGTGCCACCATTCTCAGTACATTTTTTTCCAGTTCCAGATGAGAGCTACACGCATCCCCCCCCCCCGACTGCGCTGGTTTGGATGGGGCCGATTGACTAACTGCAAGCCAGTGTACTTTGGAGCTGCGGTGTGCATAGCTTGGATCCTGTGCCTTGCCTATCTTTGCTTGGCTCTTAAGCTACAAGCATTGGAAGTTCCAGATGAGATGTCTCCTTCCCAGGGGTCATTTCGTAGAAAAAGAGGTGCTGGAGCTCATTAGCATAACTCATTAGCATAACTTATTTGCATATGCCACACCCCCTGATATCATCGGAAGTGTGTCAGAAGGCAACACCCACCGCTTAGGCTCCACTGGACTCTTTTGCATTGCTAGCTGTTGGGGGGGGGGAACGTGCAGATCTCTCCTCACAGAGGAGGGAGAGCTTATACCTGAATAAAACTTGGTCTTAAAGGTGCCACTGGACTGTTTTGAATTGCTAGCTATGGGGGGGGGGAACATTCAGATCTGCCCTCACAGAGGAGGGAGAGCTTGTACCTGAAGGTGAGCCGGGGGGGGGGGGCCCTCTGCAACTGGCCTCTGCAACTTACCTGGCTGCCTCTTGCTCCTCGTGACCCGACTGAGGGCTGCTGGGAGCAGGGGGTGGGGCTTGTTGCATGTGCCCGCCCCCTGAGCTCCCTACTGCCGGAGTTCCGCACTTGTGTGCTCCCGCAGGAAGTGACCCCTGCCCCTTCCTCAGACCTCCAGACTTTGTGGCAAGAGAGACCACAGGTACACTGACCATTCCTTCCTGTGTTTACTCTTCTGCCACTGTCCCCTTTGAAATGTAGACTGTGTTCTCAAGGTCAGTTTCCTTCCTTCTGTTCTCCCTCAGATGAAGACAAACTCTCTCCCTGCCCTCACCAAGAGGGACAACACACTGTCCTCTCTTGGCACCATGAGGGCCATCTTCCATCCTTTAGCTAGTAAGTTAGTACTCTATCCTGTCTCTGCTCTTTCCTATCCAAAAGTGCACTTCTCAAATAAAGAGAGAAGTATTTCTCCTCTAAACTTGCAGCGTGGCTCTGTGGAACTTTATAAGATGAGTATCCTGGCAAAGCGACGTGCCTGCATTTGTAGATTGATTTAAGCACTCTGCAAACTAGTGGTGACTGGACTAACCACACCAGTTAACCTCAACAACAAGAGCGGAGTCATCCTAGAGAGAGAGAGACAACCTCCCTGCCCTCCTGCTCTTGCCACACCTTTCTTTGCCCCCCAAAATGGTGCTTCCTTTGCTCAGCGGAGCCAAAGGAACAGTGCTGGAAGCAGGCTAGGCATCTGAAGCAACGGGGGGGGGGCGGGAACTGGAGAAACTGCCCTCCCCCCACAGAGATGGAAATGCAGCCATTGGTTGCAGCTCGGAAACGCGAAGCCCTTTCGATCTGCGAACTGCAGTGCCCACCTCGCCACAGTGGTTCTGTTTTTCAGAACTCTGCCCACTCCCCCCCCCAAGTAGTCTCGTCTTCCCTCCCTTGCACTAGCTGCTCATGGGCTGCATAAGAGCCACGGATGGGCCAGTTCTGGCCCATGGGCCGTATGTTTGACACCGCTGTGCAAGCGGATAATCCTCTGTAGGCCAGACAGTTGAGTCACGAATGATGGGGGTTGTAACCATCTCCTTCCCCTCCTTTCTTCCCAGCCATGACCATTCAGAGCAACGCGACTTGTCGCTGTGGATTCATCCTGCAAGGTCTCTCCAACCAGCCAGAGCACGAGCGCCTCTTCCTCCCCATCTTCTTCTTCTTATACCTGATGATCCTGCTAGGCAACCTGCTGATCGTCCTCCTGATCTACCACAATGTCCGCCTCTACCAGACCCCCATGTATTTCCTCCTCAGCCATCTCTCCTTGGCTGACGTGGGGTTCTCCTCCTCTACCGTCCCCAAGATGCTGCATAATCTACTGACTCAGACCAAAGACATATCTTATGGTGGGTGCCTGTCTCAGATGTTCTTCTTCTTGGGCTTTGGGAACACGGAAAGTTTCCTCCTGTCCTCCATGGCCTACGATCGCTACGTGGCCATCTGTCACCCGTTTCGTTACGCCGTTCTGATGAATCAGAGGAACTGTCTCCTCTTGGCTTCCGGCTGTTGGCTTTTGGGCTTCCTCCACTCCCTGCTCTACACGGCGTTGATGTCTCGCCTTTCGTTCTGTGCCTCCCGGCAGATCCCCCACTATTTTTGCGACCTGCACCCCTTGATTAAGCTCTCCTGCTCGGACACCTCGGCGATTCAGATGACGACCCTCACCGAGGGGACGGTGACCATGGTGGGACCCTTCGCCGTCACCATCCTCTCCTATGCCCTCATTTTCCACAAGGTCCTCAAGATTCCCTCAGCGGCTGGGAAGCGCAAAGCCTTCTCGACCTGCGGTGCCCACCTGACCACGGTGGTTCTGTTTTTCGGCACTGTGATTGCTGTGTATGTCCGCCCCTCCGCCACGTATTCTGGCACCAAGGTCCGGGTGATGTCTGTGGCGTACACAGCTGTGACTCCCATGCTCAACCCCTTCATCTACAGCCTGAGGAACACGGAGATCCAGCAGGCTCTGAGGAAGTGCCTAGGGGCCGTCTGAAGCCCCATTTCTGTGGCGGCCATTTTCTATGGCGCTATTGTCGAGCTTATGCTGAATTCCAAGAAACCAGGGGTGGCCAAACTTGCTTGACGTAAGGGTCACACAGAATAAACGCCAGATGTTTGAGAGCGGCAAGGCATGAAGAAATATTACATCTTTTTACTTGTAAATATGCAGATCTGCTTTTTATTGACATTAAACGAGACTGCCGAAATAATAACGAAAGCGGTAGAAGCAGATATTGGTAATGATATTTATTTGTCCAATGATATTTGTTTGCTAATGATATTTCGCTTCCCCAGCCTCCTCGCTGGGAGCTGCACAATATGTTGAAGGAGCCACAGTTTTGCCACCCCTGCAAGAAACCGTGCCTCCAGGGGAGAAGGAGGAGGAGGAGATTGGATTTATACCCTGCCCTTCGCTACTCGAAGGTGTCTCAGAGCAGTTTACAATCCCCTTTCCCTTCCCCTCCCCACCACAGACACCCTGTGAGGTAATCCCACCTACTTACAAGTCCATCCCATGACCTCCCTTATTGGTGCATGTGGAAAGGGGCAGGTATTCTATGGGTTGGGCCAATATTTGAAACTCTACACTCTATCTCGTGGAACACCATCTGGCCAGGTGTGAAGTCTTGGCTTCCTGCATCCTCTTTGAAGTACAGATGAATCTTGGCTTTCCCAGGCATTCAAGGCACCATCAACAGGAAACTGCAATTCAGATGCAGATCAGGTCCCTGTTCTGCGTGACATCTCGTCTCTTTAGCAATGGGGGAATTTCTTCTTCTTGGTTGTTGTTCTGCCCACAATGGCTAACACGTGCTTCTCTTTCCCATAATGCCCTGAGCTGAATGTGTGCAAACTACATTAACATGAAATGCAGGCAAGCGTTCCCTATGTGAAACCTCTCACAGTAGGTGATGCAAACAGCTTCTTCTAGGCTTAGGGTATACAATGTGTGTGCACACTCCATGTGTTGCTTGTGTAGCAGATATAGAACCATAAATTAGTCCATTTCTTAACACCAAGGTCACACCAGCAGCTGCATATGGAGGAGTGGGACTCAAACCCGGTTCTCCCAGATTAGAGTCTGCGCTCTTCACCACTACACCAAACTGGAAACCGTGGCAACTTTGAACTATACCATGGTAACCCCCGTACTGAAGCCCATCATCTGCATCGTAGGAGCAATGAGATGGATCCAGCCATGAAGACAGTCACCTGGGAATTGAAACGGCAGGACTTTCCAAGTTCTGGGTCGTACATTTTCTGGTGTTCTAAGGTCCCGTCCACACGCGGCGATTTGGTCCCAGATATAGAACCATAAATTAGTCTATTTCTTAACACCAAGGTCACACCAGCAGCTGCATATGGAGGAGTGGGGACTCAAACCCGGTTCTCCCAGATTAGAGTCTGCGTCACCAACTGGAAACCGTGGCAACTTTGAACTATACCATGGTAACCCCCGTGCTGAAGCCCATCATCTGCTTCGTAGGAGCAATGAGATGGATCCAGCCACGAAAACAGTCACCTGGGAACGGAAACGGCAGGACTTCCCAAGTTCTGGGTCGTACATTTTTTGGTGTTCTAAGTTTTGTTTTTAGGTCACATGCATCCTTGTAAAATAAGCAACACTTAAAAACCGTTTAGTATACATAGTGTTGGAAAGGGCCGTCAAGGCACAGCTGACTTCTGGTGACTCTGGTAGGGTTTTCAAGGCAAGAGACGTTCAGAGGTAGTTTGCCATAGCCTGCCTCCGTCTCACGTCCCTGGTATTCCTTGGAGGTCTCCCATCCAGATAATAGCCAGGGCCGACCCTGCTTAGTTTCCGAGATCTGATGAGATCGGGCTAGCCCGGGCTATCCAGACTATTCAGCTCATACTGAAGCAGATTGCTGGTCCGGCTCCCTCCAGGTCTCAAGCAAAGATCTGTCCTAGCTGAGAACCAGTTTGGTGTAGTGGTTAAGAGCGGTGGACTCTAATCTGGGAGAACCGGGTTTGAGTCCCCACTTTTCCACTTGCACCTGGCTGGTGTGACCTTGGGTCAGTCACAAGTTCTCTCAGAGCTGTTCTCCCACGAGCAATCCTCGAAAGAGCTCTCTCAGCCCCAGCTGCCTCACAGGGTGTCTGTTGTGGGGAGGGGAAGGGAAAGGAGTTTTTCAGCCGCTCTGAGACTCCTTCGGGTAGTGAAGGGCAGGGTATAAAACCAATCTCCTCTTCTTCTTCATTTACCTCACAGGGTGTCTGTTGTGGGGAGGGGGAAGGGAAAGGAGTCTGTAAGCCACTCTGAGACTCCTTCGGGTAGTGAAGGGCGGGGTATAAATCCAATCTCTTCTTCTTCTTTTACCTCACAGGGTGTCTGTTGTGGGGAGGGGAAGGGAAAGGAGTTTGTAAGCCACTCTGAGACTCCTTCGGGTAGTGAGGGCAGGTATAAATCCAATCTCCTCCTCTTCTTCTTTGAACTGGAATGGCCAAGGAATTAACCTGGGCTCTTGTGTACACAATAAATACTCTATGACCAATGAGCTGTGGCCGCACCCCCTTGCCGGAAGGACGGCTCCAGAGCAAACTGATTTATGCAGCCGCCAAATCGCTCGCTCACAACTTTAATGCCAGTAGCTCAAAAAGTAGATTTTTTGCTCACAAGACTCCACAGCTTAGAGGGAACATTGGAGGGCAGGTATCCAATTCTCCTCTTCTTCTCTTCTTCTTCTTGGAATGGCCAAGGAATTAACCTGGGCTTTTGTGTACACAATAAATACTCTGTGACCAATGAGCTGTGGCCGCACCCCTTGCCCAGATGGTCCCAGGTCCAATCCCTGGCGTCTCCAGGTAGAGAATCCGGCAGCAGGTGATATGAAAGACCTCAGCCTGAGACCCCAGAGAGCTGCGGCCAGAATGAACAGGCAATACTGACTTTGATGGCCTGATTCGGTAGAAGGCAAGTTTTCATGTGTTCACTCTTGCCCACACGGGCAGCCAAAGGACCGGAGTCAGACCCAGTCCTGAATCACAGCCCACCAGTGGCACACCCGCACCTGTGGCTGCTCCGAGCGTCATTTCCATAGGTCAGTCCCCGTGTCCTCACCCTGCACACAAAATGGAGAGGTAATAGCACCAGGCAGTATTGTGCAACATGGGTCCACGGCCGACACCTTCACCAGGTTGAAGGGTGGCATTATGAGACAGCCCTCAGCACAATGCAGACACCTGCTCTTAAATACTGGGTTCAAGACGCATTGCAGTGAACAGCTCTGCCTTATTAAGTGATTTCAGGGACAAGGCTAAGACACCACGGCAACAGCCCTGTTTAAATAGCATGCAAAAACCACACCCAACTCCCAGTGACAGGCTATTTACATAATATTAGTTTCTCATAGGTCACTTCCAGAGTCCTGGTGGGCTGTTGTTCTAGAGCTCCAAGCTCAGCCAGTCTCTGATAGATAGTCCAGGAATGTTCCAGACCTAATACGTAACACCTGCTGCTGCCCAAATACCTGCTATAAAAGGTAAAGGTAAAGGTTCCCTTGCTCGAAAGCCAGTCGAATCCGACTCTAGGGTTGCGGTGCTCATCTCCGTTTCAAAGCCGAAGAGCCAGCGCTGTCCGAAGACGTTTCCATGGTCATGTGGCCGGCATGACTAAACACCAAGGCGCACGGAACGCTGTTCCCTTCCCACCGAAGTGGTACCTATTTATCTACTTGCAATGTCTTGCTTTCAAACTGCTAGGTTGGCAGGAGCTGGAACTAGAGACAGGAGCTCACCCCGTCTTGCGACACCCGGGTCTTGAACTGCTGAACTACTGACCTTCCACAGCCTGCAGTTCAGCGTCTTAACCACTTGAGCCACCGCAGCTATACAATCATGCATATTTGGGGCTGTATCCTATTGTACACAGGAGCATTTGCAGAGTAGATGGCCAGGAGGTGTGCTAGCAATGGGTATTATGGGTCACCTGGTGGGCTGAAATGCATGTGGTCAGTGCGGGACCCCTTTCACGGGTGGTTGAGCCCCTCCCCTTGGGCAGATCAAACTCAACAAAGAGTCTGCCCTTCCCTCTGGCCATGAGGCGAGCAATGGCTTCAAGCTTGAGGCGACAATATCTGGGGAGTGGACAGTGCTAGGTAGCCTGACCATAGGGTTGCCAACCTCCAGGTGACACTAGGAGAGCTCCCGCTATTACAATTGAGCCAGTTTTGGTGTAGTGGTTAAGAGTGTGGACTCTGATCTGGGAGAACCGGGGTAGGTTCCCCACTCCTCCACGTGCCGCTGCTGGTGTGACCTTGGGTCAGTCACAAGTTCTCTCAGCTGTTCTCTCAAGAGCAGTCCTCGAAAGAGCTCTCTCAGCCCCACCTACCTCACAGGGTGTCTGTTGTGGGGAGGGGAAGGGAAAGATACAAGGAAGTACTTCTTCACTGCTGCAGGAAGTGGTGGCTACAAGCATAGACAACTTCAAGAGGGGATTGGATAAACATCTGGAGCAGAGGTCCATCAGTGGCTGGACACTCTGTCTGGGGCAGTGATGCTCTGTATTCTTGGTGCTTGGGGGGCAACAGCGGGAGGGCTTCTGGAGTTCTGGCCCCACTGGTGGACCTCCTGATGGCACCTAGGTTTTGGCCATTGTGTGAAGCAGAGTGTCGGACTGGATGGGCCATTGGCTGATCCAACATGGCCAGTTTGGTGTAGTGGTTAAGTGTGCGGACTCTAATCTGGGAGAGCCAGGTTTGATTCCCCACTCCTCCACTTGCACCAGCTGATGTGACCTTGGGTCAGTCACAAGCTCTGGCACAGCTGTCCTTGAAAAAGAGCAGTTTCTGCCAGAGCTCTCTCACCCCCACCTACCTCACAGGTTGTCTGTTGTGGGGAGGGGAAGGGAAAGGAGTTTGTAAGCCGCTCTGAGACTCCTTTGGGTAGTGAAGGGCGGGGTATAAATCCCATCTCTTCTTCTTCTTCTGTCTGGGGCAGTGATGCTCTGTATTCTTGGTGCTTGGGGGGCAACAG